AATTCAGAGACTGTGGAGCGGGAAAGCGTGTGCAACATGGGCGCATGGGCAGGTGAAGAGCGTCGCCTTGAACCAAGCTGATTCCACTCTGAACGTGCTACAGTCCGGCCGATTGGTGAGGTGTGGAGGGTGTAGCAGTGTGGAGGGTTTGTGGTTGAAGATGGTGCAGTGGTTCGAGAGCTCGAGTTTGAGACACACACACACACACACGCACGAGCTTGAAAGCGCCGTGACAGGACACTGACCGAGGGTGGCATGCAGTACCTCCTGGCATGCGTCCGATCGGACACGGGCATCAAGTCCGGCCGGTACATGTTTGAGGTCCGGATAGTTGAGTCCATCACTCCTATGGAGACTGGAGAGAGGACGCCTACACCGAAACAGCTGCTTCGAGTGGGCTTCTCGCTGGCTGGTAGCTCTCTGTTCCTAGCAGATGGATGCGACAGCTTTTGCTTCGATTCCGAAGGCCTGTTCATCCATGAAAAATTGCGGAAGAAGGTCGGTCCTAAATTCCGAGACGCAGTCGTGGCGGTCCTCCTGAACCTGGACCAGTCGAGCCCCAACAAGAACACCGTCAGCCTTTTTTTGAACGGCGTCCGACAGTCTCCTCCCCAGCCCATACCGGAGCACCTGTGCGGCAAGCCGCTCTATCCCACTCTCTCATTCAAGAATGTGTCCGTGGACGTGAACTTGGGCCCCTCTCCACGCAAGGCCCTGCCGTTTCACTGCCACATGCTGGCAGGCGCGGCGGCAGCTGACGTGGAGGCATCTCCTTGCAAAGCGTTGGCCAAGAAGCCCGAGGTGATTCTGCCAGTGGGCCTACCCTCTCAGGGCTTCTTTGATTGGGTGGACGAGTTCGTTGAAAAGAACCCGGGCTATGTGGAGCTGAGTGATCGAAAGATCCTGGAGTGGGCACAGAAAAGTGGCCTGTGGAAGCCAAAGGGGGGTGGGTCCCTGGACAAGCCCGAAGGCAACTTCGGTGTCCCGGCACTGGATGACGGGAGCGTGCGTCGAGTTCTAGCCAACATCTCGCCCGCCCTGAACCGCAGTTACATCATCGGTGAACTGAAAGGCAACTTGGTCGCGGCCGACCGACAGGCTACCTTGGGCAGGTTCAATCCCCAGGACTTCTCTCGAAAGTCCGTGGTGGTCATGGGAGAACCGACACAGGAGTACAAGAGCAGGGTGCAGAGTCTCATCTTGGCAGAGAAGAAACAGAAGGCCGAGCAGGAGCAGAAGCGCAAGGCCCAGGCAGAGGAGCGGAAGCGGATGCTGGAGCTGAAGCGCAAGAAGGCGGAGGAGGCAAAGAAGGCCAAGGAGGCAGCTCAGAAAAAGAAGGAGGGCAAGGAGGAAAACGGAGACGCAAAGGAGGAGGCAGAGGAGACCGCTGAGGATGTGAAGATGGAGGAGCCTGTCCAAGTGGAACTCACAGAGGAGGAGAAGGCCTTGTCCTACCGGACCTCTACGACGCCAGACATCTCGGAACGTGAGTTGACCAAGTCTTTCGCGAAGTTCAGCCTTCCGAGCAAAGAGGAGGGCTTCGAGGCCATCAGCTTCGCATGGCAGGCTGAGGCTGACTGCGCGGCCTTGCTCAAGAAGTGGATCCTTCAGAAGAAGCTGACGCAGCGAGCCGAGGCTGGAAGACGTGTCTGCCTAACAGGGCCTAACATGCCTTGTTGTGCGTTGCAGTGACCGCAGGACTTGCAGCCTGGTGCCGGCTTCAAGGAGACATGGACGAAGTGGCAGAAAACGATCCAGGCGGCCCGGGGGGGGAGCAACATGTCGAAGGCGTGAAAGCGAAAGCTGCGAAAGCGCGAAAGCACCTGAAACATATTCTGCCAGGAGTGGAGGAGGCGGCAGGCCGACTACAAGGAGCCGTCGAAGCGCAAAGCCCTCGCCGCCAAGAAGGTGGAGACAGCCAAGAAGGCCATGGAGGAGGAGAAGAAGAAACTGATGGAAGCAGGGGACGAAGATGCAGCCAAGGCTCTGGAAGAGAAGTTTGCGCAAGATTCCGCTCCGGTGGAAGTGAACTTCGATGACCTCGATGTCTTTGCTGTCGAGGATGTGATGGACCTTGGCAACACCATGCCCTTGTTCGCACAGTTCTTGTACGAGGATTGGGCCCTTCTGAATCTGAGAGCAGAGCTCCACCTCCTGCTGCACAACTTCAAGAAGGACTTGGACGATGCAGACAGGCCGAGCTTCGTGGAAGCCCATCTGGGATACTACTACCAGAAGTACTTCAAGAAGAGCTGGAACTTCAATCAGTACGGCCTCGCGAAGTTTGCAGACCTTTTGGATATCCTGAAGGATGCTATCTCCGTGGATAGCACTTCAAACTTCCTCCAGGCACCCTTGGTAGGCTTTAGCCTAGAGCTGTCGCGTGGTAATTCTGACCGAGGCTGTGCAAACCGAGGATGTCACGCTCGAGACCTTCCTGAAGTATACCGAGGCACCAGAAAATCGCCGCAGTGCGATGGTGTGCCATCTTGCCTCCCATCCGCCTGTTCAGCCTATTCCCGCAGCTCGCAGGACCACAGGCGAGAGCGGGAGCGCCGTGTCGACGCCGGCGACGAGACCGCGAAGCTAAAGTTCTCGAGGCCGGCGGTTGGGGTCCCGGCGCTTCCCAGC